CAGGTCAGGTGCGGGAGAAGATCGCCCCCACGTGGAGCCGAATGAGAGCGGTGCCTGGATTTGCTCTTCATTTCTGGTCCCACGCTGAGGATGCCCTGGGGTAGTCCAGAGGACAACTGAGCTGTACCCTCACACCGCTGGCAAACGTTCTTAGGAATTTCACTTCTCTGCTGTTTTCAGAACACCCTTGTTTTGACTTCATAGACCTGGCAGAGTTGGAACTCCGTGGGCTCCACAACCCCTTTTTACCCCCAGCCTCACTCAGCATCTTCACTTTATTTTATTAGATTTTTTATTTGTGTGCTTTGCCTGCACACACACACACACACACACACACACACACACACACACACACACACACACACACATATGTTTACATATGTGTGTACCATGTAAGTTCCTGGGGCCTGCAGAGATCAGAAGACATCTGATCCCCCTGAAGCTTGAGTAATGGATGTTGTGAGCTGCCACATTCGTGCTGGGAACTGAACCCTGGGTCTCTGCAAGAGCAACAAATGCTCTTAACTAAGTCATCTCTCCAGCCCCAGTATCTTCATTTTTTAAAAAGACACAGAAATATCCCTTTTAAGATCTACCCAAAGATGAATTGTAGGACTTCATCAGTATCTGGGCTATGGGCTTGGAACAGTATCTCTTAAGCCTTCCAGAATTGGTCTTATCTTATTTCCCTCCCCCAGGCCTATGGTGCAGGTATCAGGATTACTTTTGTCCCTAGGGCTAGTTGCAGAACCTCCACATGTTGGACTATGGGATTCCACAGAGAATGAGCCTCTCAGCCTTCTTCCATCAGTAAGCCATTCATCCCAACTGCTCTCCCATCATCCACTGTCCTCATGTCTACCATACTCCTGAATTTGGACTTTGGGGAACCTCCGAAAAAGGCATTTGGAGGAAATGCCAAGCACCAGCGTTTTGTCAAGAAGCGGCGGTTCTTGGAACAGAGAGGATTTCTGAATAAAAAGAACCAACCCCCTAGCAAGGTGTCTAAGTTGCATTCAGAACCTCCAAAGAAAGGGCAATCTTCAAGAGTAGATGACATTTTGAATACCCTTCCATGCCCAAAGAAGAAGGAGGCAGCGGCCTCCAAGAGGGAGTCAGAGCAGTCCACAGACAGGAAAGCATCATTGTCTTGGCTGACCCCTGCTCCTTCAAAGAAGACTAATTCTGTTGTGGCTAAAATAGATTTGTTAGGGGAGTTTCAGAGTGCCCTTCCAAAGATTAAGAGCCACCCATCCCACACCCAGAAGGGCTCCAAGAAGAAACCTTTAAAGAAAAATGCAGAGAACTCCACCCAAGCTCACTCAGAAAGTAAGGGCTCCAAGAAGCCCTCACAGAAGAGTGCTACACAGAACTCCACCCAAGCTCATTCGGAGAATAAAGGCTCCAAGAAGAAGTCCTTGAAAAATGTTGCACAAAATTCCACACAAGCTTGTTCGGAGGAAAAGTGCCTTAAAATCTCCCAAAACTTGCCTGGGAAGATGGTGGCAGTTGACTGTGAAATGGTGGGCACAGGACCCAAGGGGCGTGTGAGCTCCTTGGCTCGATGCAGCATTGTAAACTACAATGGAGATGTGCTCTACGATGACTACATCCTCCCCCCCTGCCATATTGTGGACTACCGGACCAGATGGAGTGGCATCCGAAAGTGCCACATGGTTAATGCTACACCCTTCAAGATTGCTCGGAGTCAGGTGAGGAGCGTGGTACAAGACAGTAGCGAGGGCTCAGGAGAGGACTTTCTGCAGGTGATACTCTGGGAGGTGTCAACTGATTGTGAAGGGAGGGAGAATAATGCCACATGAGGAAGAAAGCTTCCTCTTGGAGTAGGGAATTATTTTTCTGGTGGCTGTGACAAAATCCCTGACCAAAGGATTTAACAGATTTGTTTGCCAGTTTAAGGATACATTCCGTCATGCTATAGAGATCATGGCAGCAAGAGCAGGATGCAGCTGTTGAGCAGTCAGGAAGCAGAGAAATGGATGCTGATTCTCTGATTCTTTTTCATTCAGCCTAGGACTCTGGCTAATGGAATGAATAGGTTATTTTTGTTTTGTTTTGCTTTACTGTGGGTCTTCCCACCTCAGTTAAGCCAACCAAAAAGCTCACAGACACACTCAGAAATTTGTCTTCTAGATAATTCTTGGTTCTTTCAAGTAGACAGTACTATCGTGAGTCCACCCCTTGTCAACTTGATGCACAAGCATGACACTGTAGTTGTAACCTTCCGTCCTCAGTCCTCCTAAACTCATAGCCATCTCATAATGCAAAATGGATTTAGTTCAACTTCAGAGGTCTCTATAGTTTGTAACAGTCTCTGAAACTTAGACTCTTAACTGTGAGCCCCATCACATCAAAACACAAAGGCTGAGCATGGCAGAATACACATTTATTTCCAACACTCAGGAGGCATAGATAGGTGGATCTCTGTATGTTCCAGGCCAGCTAGAGTTACATGGCAAGATCTTGTCTCAAAAACAAGTTTAGAACTGGAGAGGTGGCTCATATTGTAAAGTGCTTGTTGCACAATCATAAGGACTTAATTTAGATCTCCTAGAACCTACCTGTCTTGTTAGGGTTTCTTTGTGATAAAATATCCTGACCAAAAGCATCTTGAAGAGGAAAGCGTTTATTTCATCTTGCAGTTATAATCTATTAGGAGGGAGGTTAGAGCTGGAACTCAAGGCAGGAACTAAAGCAGAGTCCGAGGAGGAATGCTACTTACTAGCTTGCTCCCTTCTGGCTTGCTCAGCCTGCTTTCTAATAATGCCCAGGACCACCTGCCTGGGGATGACATCACCCGAATCAGTCACCATAGACAAAATGCACCACAGACGCCCTACAGACCAATCTTGTGGAGGCATTTTCTCAAGATTCCCTCTTCCCAGGTACATGTCTCAAACTGACATAAAACTAGCTCAATAGCTCGCTTGTCAACTTGACACACAAACACATCATTGTTAAATCATAATCTTTGCTTTCTTGTTAACCCAATATGTGATATTAACATCAGTATCACAATATAAAACATCCTAAACTTTAAAAGTCCCATAGTCTTTAAAAATCCACACTTTAAAAGTTCAGTCTCTTTAAAATATCTAAAGTCTCTTTAGAATACCAAAGTTTCTCTAAGGTCTCATAATTATGGTTTCCTGTAAAATAAAAAACAAGTTTAAATACTTTCTTATTTCTAGAGGAAAGATTCAGGATACAGTCTCACAATCAAAAGAAAACAAAACTGAAATCCACAGTATAAAGCTTAAGTTAAAGCTTAAGTTTCATATTCTGAGACTCACGATTTTCTAGGCTCCAAGAGACTTGCCACAGCACACAGCTTTTCTCCTAGGTTGAGGCTGGCTCCACCCCAAAGTTGCTGCTCTCCTAGGTGGTCATCCCAGGTACTGGCATCTCCAAAATGCTGGGGTCTCCACTTCCACTGGGCACTGGACATCTTTACCAGTAGCCTCTCCTGGGCTTTCTTCAGGGACAGTGATCCTGCCACATGGTGCCAGGCCACAATTTTTGTCCGTGATCCCTTCAGTCTTGGATCTTCTACTGCAACTAAAGCTATGCCTTCAATGCCTCTCCATGATCTCATCATGATTTTCAAAAGTAGTACCACATAGGTGACTTTTTTATTTTTCTTTTTTTAAATGTATGCAGTGTTCTGTCTGCATGTACCTCTGCAGGCCAGAAGAGGGCACCAGATCTTATTACAGGTAGTTGCTGGGAATTGTACTCATGACCTCTGGAAGAACAGCCATTGCTCTTAACCTCTGAGCCATCTCTCCAGCTCCCACATTGGTGACTTATATGTTAGCAAGTGTGGCTGCCAACATGAGATGCAACCTTGGCTGGAACACAGCTTGTGTGTGCTGAACCTGGGGAAGTACTTGCCAGAAGAGTTCACCTGAGTGGTGCTTCCTCTTCTTCTTCTTTTGTTTGCTTTGTTTGTTCAAGACAGGATCTCACTATATAGCTGTGGCTGACCTAGAATTCACTGTAGATCAGGCTGGCCCTGAACTCATAGATCCTCCTACCTCTGCCTCCTGAGTGCTAAGAATGAAGGCATGTGCCACAATGCCAGGCCCTTGATAAAGTCTATAAGGGACTTTAAAACTTCCCTGTGAAACTTCACAACCCAGCCTTTTCCCTCTGCACTGCTATCAATATTATCTTCTAAGTTCTTGCAACAGCTCATTAAATTTTGAACAACATTTAATGGTTTTTCCAGCTCCAAATTCTAAAGTCCTTTCACAATCCTCCCAAAAACACATGGTTAGTCTTATTATAGCAATATCCCAGGTACCAATTTCTGTCTTAGAGTTTCTATTGCTGTGATAAAACACCTTGACTAAAAGCAACTTGGGGAGGAAAGGGTTTATTTTAGCTTATAGTTATATTCCAAGAAGGGAAGTCAGAGCAGGATTTCAAGGCAGAAACCTGGAGGCAGAAACTGAAGAAGCAGCTTTGGAATTGCTTACTGCCTTGCTATCTCCTGGCTTGCTTATAGCACCCAGAACCAAGGACATGGCAAGGAAAGACTATAAACCAGAATGAGACTTAAACACAGCAGGGCAGCCACCAGGGCCTCCAGCTCCATGTCCAGCATGGACCCTTGTGATGGTATTATCTGAACTGTCAGGGCCATAGGTAGCCCAGCCCTTGCAGCTCTGCTGCCTACAGCACACAGAGCCCCTTTGTTGGGTTAGCTTCACTCTGTGCCTGCAGCTTTTCTTGACAAATATAGCATGGTTTTGACATTTCCAAGATCCCAGATCCTGCATTATAACTTAGGTTTCACCTTCACAGCTTTGTGCAGGGGTCAGCTTGAAGGGACACCAACCCTGCTACATATGGCCTGGTCCCCAAATGACCTTCAGGAATCTTGATGCAAGCCCCTGTGAGCCTCTTATTCTTGCAATTTTCATGTCCTAAAATCAATGCCACATATTGCAAAGTTCTGCTTCCAACTCAAAATGTAGTCTAGTCTCCTTAAATTAAAACTGTAGGGGCTGCTGTATGTTTTGATGAGAGATTAGTTGAGTATTCTTTCCTAAGTGCTGTTTTAAAGCAGGACACTCAGTTCAGCTTTCTCCATTTAAATGAATGTGTGTTTTCATAGTTGGGCTTTCTGTGGTTGGGCCTTGCCTTTAAGTCACCTTTTCCCTTATCCCAGTGAAGGTATTACATTTCATAGCCTGTAGCTTTAAATGTATGTATGGTCCTTTCCCCACCAAACTGCAATTTCTCCCATATTTTAAAATGTCCTATTTGCTGTCTTTCACTGCAGACCTGGATAAGAGTAGTGAACAGTTGCCTTCACACAGCTGGGGTAGAAATATACTTTGCCATACAAATTAGTCCATTACTTTTTAATTCAGCCTCACTTAAATTCTCTGAACTCTTGTGAGCCAGGCCTCCATTGTTGGCATTTCTCTTGGCATTCTCTTCAAGGATCCCACCAGAACAGTCCATTGAGCTCAGTGTACAGCATTCCAGGGCTTCTGTAAGCCACAGTTCTGTACTCCCACATTCCTCCTCTAAAACAGTTTCAAAGGCCTAAGTACCACATGGTCAGTGTCTTAGTTACTGTTCTACTGTTTTGAAGAGACCATGACCAAGGCAACTCTTATAAAAGGAGCCTTTAACTGGGGGCTTGCTTACAGTTTTAGAGGGTTAGTCTATGACCATCATGGCAGGAAGCAGACAGGCACGGCACTGGAGCAGTAGCTGAGAGCTTTACATCCTTTATAAACAGCTGGCAAAGAAAGACAGACACTGAGCCGGGCATTGGTGGTGCAGGCCTTTAATCCCAGGACTCAGGAGGCATAGGCAGGACCAGCCTGGTCTACAAGAGCTAGTTCCAGGACAGCCTCCAAAGCCACAGGGAAACCCTGTCTTGCCCCCCCCCCCAAAAAAAAAAAAAGAAACCTCAAAGCTCACCTCTCAGTGACAAACCTCCACCACGGCCATACCTCCTGATCTTTCCTAAATAGTCCACCAAGGACTAAGCATTTGAATATATGAGCAAATGGTGGCCATTCTCATTCAAACCACCACAGTAAGGTTTATCACAGCAAAACCCCACTCCTCGTTACCATTCTTCTGTATTAGTTACTGCTGGGTTTATTCTGGTTAATAGTTTGAAGGTTCGGCATACTGATGTTGCAGGAGTTAGAGGCAGGCAGCTGGTTACTACCATTTAGGGTGAGCCTTCTACCTCAGTTAACTCAGTCTAGAAACTCCCTCACAGACATGCCCAGAAGTTTGTCTCTACTTGATTCTAGATCGTGGCAAATTGACAAGCTTGACCATCATATGTTGCTGGAGTTCTTTGTCCTTCCAGGTGCCTCCGCTTCAGCTCCAGTGAACACACAGAGACGCTGTATTAACTATTAAACTGTTGGCCGATGGCTAGGACTTCTTATTGGCTAGCTCTGTCTTAATAATTACCCATTTCTATAAATCTAAGTATTTCCATGTGGTCTTATGTTACCGGAGAAGGGTCTGGACCTGTTACTCCTTCCTCTGCTATATGGCATCTTCCCTCGGTCTGTCTCTGCCTACCTTTCCCAGAATTTTCCTTGTCTCCTAGTCCCGCCTGTCTTCCTGCCTCTATTGGCCAAACAGTGTTTTATTCATCAGCCAATAAGAGAAACACATATACAGAAGGACTTTCCTCATCAATCATAGGAGTGTTAAGTCAGGAAGTCACAACTAGGTGGTGAAAGTAATTTTACTAATTGAGATCTCCTTTAAGTGTGTGGTAGAGTTGACCTCAAGAATTAATAGCCATCGGGTAATAGAAGTGGGCAGAAGAACAGGTGTAAAGTTGCTTGGGGCAAGTACTGAAAGTGTTGGTAGCAGGAGGCAGAACTTTTTCCCAGACAAGGTTTCTCTGTGGCTTTGGAGCCTCTCCCGGCACTTGCTCTGTAGACCAGGCTGGCCTCAAACTCACAGAGATGCACCTGTCCCTGCCTCCCCAGTGCTGGGATTAAAGGCGTGTGTCATCACTGCCTGGCTGAGGCAGAATTTTTTTACACAAACAAAATAAAAATGGGCTGGAGAGGTGGCTCCGAAGTTAGAGGAGCACTGACTGTTCTTGCTGAGGACCTGGCTTCCAGTCTCAGTACCTGTGTGGCCATTCATCTTCAACTGTAACTCCAGTTCCTGGGATGCACTTTCTGGCCTCCTTGGGCATCAGCCACATACATGGTGCACATACATGTAAATTTTTAAGAAGAAAAAAAATGTTTTTAACCTAAATTGGAGCATAGTTGTATTGGTTGGGGGCATTTGAGTGGCCTGTAGTAAAAGATATAAAAGGCACAAGACTTGTAAGGGTGTTCGCATCCCTCCTTTAGCAAAGCTACTCATTCTAGTCCCGAGCTAGAGCACAACTAATATTTTTTTGTTTGTTTTCTTCTTTTGTTGGTGTTTTTTTTTTTTTTTTTTTTTTTTTTTTTTTTTTTTTTGGAGCCTATCCTGGCACTCGCTCTGGAGACTGGGCTGGCCTCAAACTCACAGAGATCCACCTGCCTCTGCCTCCCGAGTACTGGGATTAAAGTTGACCAACGCCCAGCCAACTAATAATGTTTTAAACAGGAGTGGAGGATAGGTTAAGAAAATGAAGGGAAGAAATGAGATGAGTCAGCTGGTCCTGGGAGGCCACCAGAGGGCACCCTTGATCTGCTTTGCAATTTGAGATCCTTGCCTTTTGCTTTCTCTAGACACAGTTCCAGTGATTCTTTTTTGGATAAGGTTTCATGTAGCCCAGGCTGGCCTCAAACTGGCTTTATAGCAAACAATAACCTTAATTTTCTGATCCTCCTGTGACTACCTCTTGAGTGCTATGATGATAGGCAAGTGCCAGCACACCTGGTTTACACAGTGTTGGGAATAGAACCCAGGGCCTTATGCATGCCAGGCAAGCACTCTACCATCTAAGCCACATCTCCAGTCCCTCCAGTGATTCTTTATAATGCCAGACAGTCCACTGAAGGAGGTTTACCAAAGATGAAGTAGCTAGGTGTTTTTAAAAAGGCAGGAAGTGCCAGGCATTTAATACCAGCACTCAGGATGCAGGGGCAGCCTGGTCTATATAGTGAGAACCTTTCTCAAAAAAACAAAAGAAAGTGAGAAATGCTGGTACAACTTCATCCTTCTGCAGGATGAAGTTGAGTAGACATGGGAGAGGTTTGGGCGGGTCTGACTGCAAATGGTCCCAGCTTCAGCAAGGGGTGGACAGATGACGATGGTGCTGGGTAGTAGACTGGGCATAGTCACAAACAGCAGATAATTGATGGTTGAACTTACTGGGGTGAAGACATACTATGTGGTTTTCACCATAAAGCATTTCTCTTGCCTAAGCTGGGCTCATGAATCCAAGATAAGTCTGGACGTGTTACTGAGTGGGTTCCCCTTGCAAGCTGCAAGGGACTACCACTGTTTTCACAATCCCATTTTGAGTGTGGCCTTCAGAACCCTAACCCTGATACTTTAAGTTTGTTATTTTGTTTTTGTGGGTTTTTTGAGACAGGGTTTCTATGTATAACAGCCTTGACTGTCCTAGAACTCACTTTGTAGACCAGGCTGGCCTCAAACTTACAGAAATATGCCTTTCTACCCCTTGAGTGCAGGGATTCAAGGTGTATGCCACCATCTCCCATCATACTTTAGGATTTTAAATGCTGAGATGTTAGTTGGTTTCAAGAGGAGTATGTAGAAAACCCCATCTGTAGCTTTATTAAGTGGTTATTGTTTTGTTTTTTCTTAACTCTTTTTCTTCTTTTATTTGTGAGGACAGAGAGGTGTGTTATGACATGCATATAGAGGTCCAAGGATAACTTGTGTAAGTTGGTTCTCACCTCCCATATAAAAGTCTTGGGGATCAAATTCAGATCGTCAAGCTTGGTGACAAGAACCTTTACCTTCTGAGCCATCTCACTGCCTATTTTTTCTCATTTTAAGTTAGGGTCTCATATATCTCAGTCTAGCCTCATATATCCCAGACTAGCCTCAAACTTGCCATGAAGCCAAGGATGACCTTTAACTTTGGTTCTTCTTTCCTTTACCTTCCAAGTATAGGGATTACAAGCCTGTACCAATATGCCCAGTTATGGTAGTGCCAGGGTTCCAACCTGGGATTTCATACATGCTGGACAAGCACTCTGAGCTGCATCCCCAGATCCAACCCTGTTTTTTGAGACAGGATCTCATGTAGCTCAGACTGTGCTTTAACTTGCAGATCACCTGCCTCAGCTTTCTGTGTGCTGGGATTGTAGGTTTATGTAACCTTGTCTAGTGATTATTTTTTTTGTAAAGATTATTTTAATTATGTGTATATGTGTTTGTATATGTGTTTTTATACATGAGTATAGTGCCTGCAGAGACCGGAAGAGGGTGTCAAATCCTCTAAAACTGGGATCATAGGCTGTGAGTCACCCCTATATGGTACTCTTAGACCAGGTCTCACTCTTAACTGCTGAGTCATCTCTTCAGCCCATAACCAGCATCTTTAATATATGTGCCAGTGAAGACTGAAGGAAGCAACTAGGGATATATAGGTCAGTGGTAGAGCATTTGTTGTCATTTACAAGGCCTTAGGTTCTGGGGGAGAAAGAATACTAAAGACCATTGTTTGGATGGAAATTAATAAACATGTAAGGAACCTCTGGTGATATAGATCCAAATGGGATTACATATAGCAGTTCTCTAGAGAAACAAGGTGGATTTCTGAAGGTGGGACACTGTGGAAGAGGGCATTTCAAGAATGGGATAAGGGGACGGGGTTGGGCTCGGTGGTATGTTGATGGTGGCCATGTCGGGCCTTCAGGGTATAGGAGCTCCCATCTTTGAGTGTCTCGTCACCTCCTATGTACTCGTTCCAGATCTTGAAGATACTCACAGGGAAGATAGTGGTAGGGCACGCCATCCACAATGACTACAAAGCCCTACAGTATTTCCATCCCAAGTCCCTCACTCGAGACACTTCTCAAATACCACTCCTCAACCGGAAGGCTGACTGCCCAGAAAATGTCACTTTGTCACTGAAGCATCTCACCAAGAAGCTGCTGAATCGGGATATCCAGGTAATTTCTCTCTAAGTGTCCCCACCACACACACACACACACACACACACACACACACACACACACAGTTCAGGACCCACTAGTCTCTGTGTGTAAGGAGAAAAATTTCCTGTGTACCTCATAGACTGTACCAAATGGTTCGGTGGGAACAGAAGATGACTCAAGCATTTCATATGCTCAGAAGTCAAGGGGAGTAGCCACAGAATACAGAGCTGTGGATACATGTCACATGGAGAACATTTAGGAAACAATACTCAGAGGGCCTGACTTTGACCTGAAATGTCCTGTCCTGCCTCTGCAGAACTTAATATGATACATGTATATTGCTACAGAAATAAGTATATTAACCAGGTAGTGGTGGTGTACACCTTTAATCCCAGTATTTGGGAAGCAGAGGCAGGTGGATCACTGTTTGAGGCCAGCCCAGTCTACAGAGAGAGTTCCAGGACAGCCAGGACTGTTACACAGAGAAACCCTGTCTCAGAAAACCAAACAAACGAAAGAAAGCAATGAGTGTATTAGACAATAGCTGTCTTCCTGGGATTTGAACCTCAGAGATGTGCTAGGGAATAGGGCCCCAGCAGAGTTCTGACTACAGCTCATAACTATAGAACAAAGTAGGGGGGTGCAGGGAGTCCAGAGTTGTCTAGAAAAGGAAGAAATGATTCTTGTTTTCTTCCCCTTTAGGCTGGAAAAAGTGGACATTCCTCAGTGGAAGATGCCCAGGCCACCATGGAGCTGTACAAGTTGGTTGAAGTTGAATGGGAGCAGCACCTGGCCCAGAACCCTCCAGAAAATTAGCAGTCCCGGGGAGACACATGCCGTGCAGTAGACCATTCCACAGTTCTACTAGCTTCACACCTGTAGAAGCTAGAATTGTTGGGGAGAGGGGCTTGACCAGAGAGTTAATACCCATTGAAATTTCATCTCAGCTGTTGTGGGGTCACTGTGTGGTTAAGTGTCTCATGAAAGGAGAAAGTGTTCATGTTAAAACCCACCTCTAGGCCAGGCAGGTGGCACAGGCCTGTAATTCCACAGACTTGGGAGATTGAGACAAAGTTTTAAGTTTAAGGTCTGCCTGGGCTACAGAATTAGTTAAAGGCCATTGAGACCCTGTCCTAACACAAAAAGAGGGCTAGGAGTAAAGCTCAGTGCTAGAGCACTTTCCCAGCATGCATAAGCCCCTAGTTCAATATCTAGTAGTGAGGTGGGGAACACAACATGAACTATAGACCATTTACTTCTTGAATAGTGCTAACCACATGTCCTAGGGTGCTTGTGCCAGTCAGCTTTCGTGACTTTGAGGAAGCAAGGCACACCAGGGAATACAGATTCCCACATTATCTTATGGGTGGGACACATAGCATCAATATCTCCCTTTGATGGGGAGTAAAGGAGCTGTTGTATTGCCAACAAACACTTGGGTACAAATGACTTTTTCCTCAGCTCCGTGACTAACTGGGACTAAGGGTGTGTGTTCACCACTGTGCCTGGTTTTATGAATTGTATGTTTTTTGTTATAAAGTAATTAATATCTTTTCACTTTCAGAAGTGTTCTGATTGGAGGTAGGCATGGTGGTCTCTAATCCCAGGACTCTGGAGGCCAAGGCAGGAAGATCAAAAGTTCAAGGCCAGTCCGATTACGTAGAGCAGCTCTGGCTCATAGAAATAGAAAAAGAGAAGGAACAGATTGTGTGGCTGGTTGCTGTATAGCCACATTACATAGCACAGAATAGCAGAGTTTACTTCATTTAGGTTCTGCTTAGTTACAAAGAATTTACATTGTTTTAATAGTCTTTCAACCCTTTTACCTTGTAAATGAAGCCTTTTAAAACTTCAAATAATTCTTTTGTAATAGAAAATTAGTGGGTTTTCCCATAAAGAGTATTTTTACTTTATTTATGTGTATAAATGTGTATGTGTATGAATGCTCGGCCTTAGTTTATGCTTGTCTCACTAGCTGTCATTTAGCTTGTTTCTCTTCATCTGTGTTTTACCTCAGGACATTTTACCTTTCATTCTTTTTTTTTTAAGATTTTTATTTATTTATTATGTATACAGTCTTCTGCCTGCATGTCAGCAGAGGGCACCAGATCTCATTCAAGGTGGCTATGAGCCACCCTGTGGTTGCTGGGAATTGAACTCAGGACCTCTGGAAGAACAGTCAGTGCTCTTAACCGCTGAGCCATCTCTCCAGCCCCCTTTCTTTCATTCTTATATGTCTTACTTTCCTGCTTCCTCCATGTCTGGCTGGCCCTGGGCATCTCCCTCTCTTTCTTCCTTGTTCTTTCTTTTTCTCTCTGCCCACCAGTCTCACCTATACCTCCTCTGCCTAGCTATTGGCTGTTGAGCTTTTTATTAGACCAGTCAGGTACCTTAGGCAGGCAAGGTAAAATAGCAACACATCTTTACTTAGTTAAACAAATATTCTATTCCACAATGTATATGTGCTTTGTTGGGGATGGGGCACAGGAGAGGGTATCAGATCCTCTGGAACTTAAGTTATAGGCTTGTGAATTTCTAGAAAATGGATGCTGGAAATCAAGCTGGGATCTTTTGGAAAGAGCCGTCTTTCCAGCTCATGGGGATTCTTTTTAGCTTCATATTAAATGACATCACAAGGTGTGGAGGGCTATGTAGTTCTCTAAGGATTTCTAGGATCTCTGGATGGTTCTCAACGAAGACCATGTATGTTGGATAATCTAAAGCTCTGGTAAGCCTTTGTGACACAAACAATGCCTTGTCTTTCTTATCACAATTCAGCAGTCACACCTAAAGTGACACCCTAAGCCATATAGGCACCCTCATATAGAGGGTGTGTGACCAGGGGAGTGAATCCGTGAGCATAAAGGGGGGGGTGGGGGAGGGGGTGCTTGGCAGACAGCTCTCCTTAGTGGTACACACTAAGTGGTAAAGCTCATCTCCAAAAGCTGAGGCATGGGTCTGTCCCTACTCTTCAGAGCCATCTCCATCCCTTCACAGTTTCATTTTGCCATTTAATGATTTGTGGCAATGAGATTACTTTGGTTCTTAGAGTTTTAATGGTTTTTGTCCCCAATCCTGTGCTCTGATCTTGGTTTTTGAAGGGTGGTGTCTGTAGATACAGTAAGAGTGCAGTTCTCAATGGGAGTGTCACTGTGCCATGCACTATGCTGAGGCCTTGAGATACACCATGTCACTCTAAGCTGGGTTGGTTGTTTTTATGTGTATGGGTGTTTTGCCTACATGTATGTCTGTGCGCTACTTGTGTGCCTGATGCCCGTGGAAGCCATTAGAGTGTATCAGATCCCCTGGAACTGGGTTTACAGATAGTTGTGAGTTGTCTTGTGGGTGCTGGGAATCAAACCCAGGTCTCCTGGAAGAGCAGCCAGTGCTCTTACCTGCTGGGCCATTACTCCAGCCCCTCAAGGTAGTATTCAAACTTAACAGTTGGAGATTGAGGGTAAAATCAAGAAGGTAAGAAATCTTTCCCAGGCCAAGTGTTAGAGATTGACAGCATTGGCACTCAGATTTGCTGAGTAGGCCTGAAGTCCCTGCCCTGAGTTAGCATCTAAGTAGTATCTAGCAGGACATGAGTTCTACCACTCAGATCCTTGCCCACTGTACCAGGCAGTGTGCTAGACACCGGGAATGGTATTGTCTTTGGCTAAGAAGAGCCAGGAAACCTGCACCCTGCTTTTGCTGTTCAGAGCCAGGATTTAATGCAGGTTAGTTATGAACAGGTCTGTGTTTCTGGAAGACAATACTGGCACTATATGGAAGCTGGATTGGGGAAGGGCCAAGAGGTGAGTTATCTGGAGATGGAGGAGCATGTATCAGTAGGTGACATCAGCAGGACCAGGAAATTGGGGCAAGAGAATGAACAGATGAACCAAGGTGCAAAGAGCAGTGAAGAGGATGTGAGGAAACAGGTGTGAGGGAAATGGGGTGGGTATTTCCTGGCTTCCTGCGCTGCCTGAAGATAGCCAGGTAGTTAGGCCAGACAAGTTTAGCAGATTAAAGATACCTGTAGCTAAAAACTAAAGTTTGGAATCAACATGGTGAAGCTGGGTTTTAGTGGCTCATATCTGTTATACCAGCATTCATGAGGCAGAGATGGGAAGATCACAAGATTTGAGGTTTTGAGACAGGTTTTGCTACATAGTCCTGGCTTGACTGAAGCTCAGTATGTAGACCTAGCTGGCCTAAATCTCCAAGAGTCTGCCTCTGCTGGGATTAAAGACTCCTGGCCTCCCAAAAGTAAATCTAAAAAAAAAAAGAAACCAGCCAGGTATGGTGGCGTGTGACTTGCTTCTGAAACACACAGGCACACATCTACTCTACAGCTTCTGCACCCATCACTTATCTGGCAGTTTTCCTTTGGATCTTTATATAACTCGCTTCCTCTTATCCTGCATATACATTATACCCATGTTTGTACACATACAATCTCAGCACTTGGGAGGCAGAGGCAGTCAGATCCCCGTGAGTTCAAGACCAGCCTGGTCTATATAGTTCCATGCTATCCCAGGGTTACATAGTGAGATCCTGTCTTTAAAAAAAAAAAAAACTTGGGGGTGGCATGTGAGATGGCTTGTCAGTTAGAGGCCTTGCTGCTCATGGCGAGGACCCAAGTTTGGTTCCCAGTTCTGAGCATGTCTGTAGAACTTAGACTGAGAATGTGGCAGATTCTGAACTACACTGTGTTGGTGCAGACCCGTAGTCCCAGCTATTCTGTGGTCTGCCTGGCAACAGAATGAGCTAGAGGGGAGAGAGGAAAAAAGAGAAATCCAGACTCCAGTCAGGGTGAGTACATAATCCTAATTGTGAGCCAGAAGACACCAAGGTACTTATAGGCAAGGATGATGACATGAAGAAGGGGGGGCGTATATGTGTGCCCCCCCCACAGTGGTACATGTTCTTGTCTTAGGAGGAGCTCTTGGAGATGGTGGCATTTATGCACAGACCTGAAAGATAAGAGGAAGCAAGTTGTGTAAAGATCCAAAGGAGGACTGCCAGCTAAGTGTAAAGGCCTTGGAGCAGATGTGTGCTTGTGTGTTTAAGGATCAAGCAAGGGAGCCTGCATGGCTGGAGCAGAGTTAGCTAGGTCAGAAGGGAGGGGAGGGACATAGGCAGACAACAGGACCTTGCCATACCTGAGAAGGATTTGGAGTTTTACACTACATCAAGTGGGAAGCCACAATAGGCTCTAGAACAGAGGAATGAACCAAATTAGTGTAGGCTTACTCCTAGCTACTGTGTGAGAGAGGATGAGAACAGAACCAGTGTAGAAGCTTTTTCTGTAACCTAACTTGACTACAAGTTTGATTATTATGGACGACTACTAATCTGCATTTCTTAATTACATACTACACTTTAAAATGAGCTGAAGAAGCACATGCAATTCCAGCTAGGTCATTTATCCCCTTATTTACATTTTCCATCAAACTATCCATAGTAGCACTTATACAGACAGGGTCTTAGCACCCTACATTATAGTGTTCCCCATTCTTTTTTTTCCCAAGACAGAGTTTCTCTGTGGCTTTGGAGGCTGTCCTGGGACTAGCTCTTGTAGACCAGGCTGGTCTCGAACTCACAGAAATCCACCTGCTTCTGCCTCCCGAGTGCTGGGATTAAAGGCGTGCACCACCAACGCCCGGCTGTTCCCCATTCTTAACTGGGGAAAGATTTCTCCTAAATGATTTACCAGGTGTGTCACCAAATATGCTGACTTCTCCAGGAGTTGCTGCCACTAAAGGTAGCTTTAACTAAACCTCTATCATTCTAATGAAACTCAAGATTCAAAGGTTAGGGTGAAAATCTGTGAACTCAGAGAGTTAAGAGTAGCAATTGGCTACCTTTCTCTCTTTGCTGGTGTCCCCTTCCATACCGCCCCAACTAATAAATCCACCTATTCTCCTCCCTGCTGCTTCCTGTCAACTAGTTGCTAACCCTGCCTCTCTGAGCCCAGGTTAATTTTATTTACTTAATACAAGTGCAACACATCTTTACATAGTTAAACAAATGCATCATAAACAAATGTAACCCATCTTTGCCTAGTTAAACAAATACTCCACAACAGAATCCTGCTCAGTTGGTGCCTCAATTTGAGTTATTACTGATATGATGAAACACCATGGCCAAAAGCAAATTGGGAGGAGAGGGTTTATTTGGCTTACACATCTATATCCATAGTCCATCACTGAAGGAAGTTAGGTCAAGAACTCAAACTGGACAGGAACCTGGAAGCAGGAGCTGATGCAGAAGCCATGGAGGGGTGCTGCTTACTGGCTTGCTCTCCATGGTTTGCACAGCCTGCTTGTTCTGTTTTTCGAGACAGGATTTTTCTGTGTAGCCCTGACTGTTCTGGAACTTACTGTGTAGACTAGACTAGCCTTGGACTTGGAAATCTGCCTGCCTCTGCCTCCTAAGTGCTTGGATCAAAGGCATATGCCACCACTGCCTGGCCACAGCACAGCCTGCCTTTTTTTTTTTTTTTTTTTCTTCCGAGACAGGGTTTCTCTGTGGCTTTGGAGGCTGGTCTGGAACTCACAGAGATCTGCCTGCCTCTGCCTCCCAAGTGCTGGGATTAAAGGCATACACCACCACCGCCCAGCTTTTTTTTAAAATAATTTTTTTAAAGAAAATATTTATTATATATACAGTCTTCTGTCTGCATACCAGCAGAGGGCACCAGATCTCATTTTAAGGTGGTTGAGAGTCACCATGTGGTTGCCGGGAATTGAACTCAGGATCTCTAGAAGAACAGTCAGTGCTCTTAACTGCAGAGCCATCTCTCCAGCCTTTTTTATTTTTTAATAGAACCCAGGGCCACCAGGCCTGGCCCCACTAACAATGGGCTAGGCCCTTATAGATCACTAAGAAAATGCTCTACAGGCTTGCCTACAGCCCAATCGTATGGAGGCATTTTCTCAATTGGAGTTCTCTCCTCTCAGATGACTCTTAAATTAGCCTGAACAGTTGCTTGCTTACTTGTAAATAGTTTATGAGAGTCTCCAGATTATAACTCAAAAGAGGAAGAAGGCAGGAATGCCATGATCTGGCTGCTGGGGAGGGAACTGGAGCCCACACCCAAAGAATCCAGACTGGCTGCCCTATACCGGGCTAGCTGGCAGAGTAGGTAGCAAGGTGTCCCTGTGAGCCGGGGCCCTAGGACATGGCTCTGAACTAGCTACCAGTGTGGTAGGAAGACCCACCACTGACAACCCAGATCATTGGAAAACCAGGGTTTGGGAGGTATGAGACCAAGACCATGAGATAGTAAGAGTGTAGTTGGCAACTACAAAATTCATGAAATACTGGCCTCTTTAATTACCCAGAGATATGTTCTTGCTAATCCCCAAGTTCCAAAGTTCCCACTTAGATGTCTTGGCCCAAGTTAGAAGGGGAATGGCAGCCAGGAAAAAGTGGGGGAGGGGAGCATCATTTGGACAGCATATATGCTCTGGTAGGCTAACAAGTTCAGAGTCCAGAGTGCTAACCATGGAACCCCCTCTTAGGCTAACAAGTTCATAGGCCTCAGGTCAGTGCCCTCTGGGAGTGAGGCACCCTGGGGCCCTGACAGACCAGAGTTTGGGGTGGTTCTGGGGCAGTGTCGTTTTTTCTTTGACACCTGGCATTTTCCAAAGCTGGTACCCACAGAAGAAAACCAGAACTTGCCACTTCATACATCTTTTCCCCATTTTGTTCATGCTGCCCAGAACAGACTATTAGATCTAGGTCATTATGGGGCCACCTCTCCTCCCCATCTCCTGCCCACTAACCAGCTCTCTGGCTTTGCTATTGGAAAGGATAAGAGTGGAAGTCAGGAGAAGAACAAGGCCTTGGCTGGGCTAAGGAACCAGACTCTGAATTCCTTTTTTAATCTGAAGCTTTATTACTTGTTTTAATTTATGTGTATGTGCTTGGCTGCATATATAGTGCATTGCATAAATGTCTGGTACCCTGAAAGGCCAGAAGAGGGCAACAGGTCCACTGGAACTGGGGCTGGTGAGATGCTCAGTGGTTAAGAGCACTGACTGCTCTTCCAGAGGATCCAGGTTCAATTCCCAGCACCCACATGGCAGCTCACAACTGTCTGTAACTCCAGTTCCAGTGGATCTGATACCTTCACACTAATGCATATAAAATGAAGTTTTTTTTTTTTTTTTTAAAAAATCCCCTGGAACTAGACTTAGAGAAGATTGTGATGTGGGTGCTAGGAATCAAATCCAGGTCCTCTGAAAAAGCAGCATGAGTGCTCTTAACCACTGAACCATCTCCATGCCCAGACTTATAACCCTGCTTATCTCTTCTGATTCAAGATGACAAGGCGGGGGGGAGAGGCCCAGTATCTGGGCTGCTTGCCTCTGTCTCTTCTTCCTCCAGCCACCAGATAATATCAAAGGTATGGGAAATCAGAAGGTCCCAGGTCCAGCTCTTTTTCTGTTTCCTACCTCAAAGGGCAGGAAAGGCACCACCAGGGAAGTAACTGGATTGGGGTTCTCCAGCCCCTGTGCCTTGGGCAAAGTGGAAGAGTTGGAGGAGGCTGGGCTGTCCAGAGCTGTGTGACCTTTTCAGAATAGGCCACTTTCCCCAGGTGCCATAAAACCCACCTGCCACGCTTGTAGGACTTGTCCATGGTTACAGTCCCATCCCTCCTCTCCTGGCTGCTAGGGCTGAATGCAGGACAGTGCTGATGGCAGATGGATGCAATACTAGGAATCAGACCAAAGAGCCAACACAAATGTAACTGCAGGTCATCTCCATGCAGGGGACTGAGACTCAGTCTGGACACGTCCTCAGCCAGTGCATCCCTACCCCACCCTCCTGTCTTCCTGGCTCAGCCAGCCCAACCCAGCCCAGCCCTGAGGAGAGCGTTGGCAGCTGGAGCTGGGAAAAGCATGGCAGAGCCAAGAACAACAGAGGCCCCGCCTGGGTGCTGCACAGACCCTCATCTGGCTTGGGGTAGCCCCTCCTTCTGCTCCAGCCCTTCCTATTGTTTCCTCTCAGACAACTGTGCTGTCCTGCTGGCCCTGCTTGCCTCCTTTTGCCAGACCTCAGGCTGACCCTGCAGGTCATTGCTTCCTCTGCTTTTGGGTAGAACCTCCCCTTAACCTCGGGTTTCTCAGGAACCTCTACCACCCTTTCCTAGTTCTCAGAGAGTTCCCACCTGCACCCAAATGTTTCTGGGAGGTGAGTTGTTTCCTAGGTCCCTGACCCTGTACTTCAGCTTTGGGGCTCTACTGCCCTCCATTCTGCTACAATGACAAAGGCTGGGTCCCTAAGCCAGGGAGATAGGAGAAGGCACAAGAGTCCCTTTTTCACAGAGGATCCTAATGGAAGGGAGGATGCTGGCTCTAAGCTCTCTGTGCAGTTCTGAGGATGCAAGGGCTCGGGAGACACAAGGCTAACTAAACACAGCTTCTTCTGGCTCAGAGCCCCATCACTACCTTCTGTACAAGTGTCCAGACCAGCCTAGCTGACTTTCCCAGTAGAGGCAATAACACTGGCCTGAGGGACGTCCTCCACCGGTGTTGACTGACCTTAGAGCATCTCCCTAGTCCTGGCTGAGGCTGAGTGTGGGGATTTTGTGACTTTCATACTCCGCCTCTCCCATGATAGTCTGGGTGGTTCCTCATCTTCTACACAGCCCCAGGGGTAGGGATATAGATGGCAGAAGTGTCCAAGTCCCACACTGCGACCCTCCACCACACACAGTCTACTCTACCTACACTTGTTCCTTGCTGCCGTCTCAGCCCATCTCTGTTCCTCTGCTCTGAGCTGAGACCACCTTCCTCCTAGCCACACAATGGAACAAAGCAGGGGAATATTCCTTCAGTCTCCTGAGCTCCTGTTTCTTCCTCATTCCACCCTCAGCTTGCCTCTGCTTCCCTATTGTGTCTCCAAACTTCTGGCAGGAGAGGGAGCCCCACCAGGCGTGTGATCATGGGGATGGGGTCACTTGGGGCAGAACTGCAGTAGATTTGGTTATAATTGAAAGGCCAGAGGCACCGGGAAATTCCTTTCCTTATTGATCCCAGTGGGAAATTAAAGCCAGGAGTTGGGCATGGAACTCTTATTGGCTGCAGCTCCTCCCATCACACAGCTCTGGGGCCCTAGCCCCTGCCCCCGTCGGTTGCATCCCCCATCCCTGTCTCTGCTAGCCCTCATCCCAGTGCCTCCAGGCTCTCTCATCTCTCAGTGTCTCCTTTTCCCAGCTCTTACCTAAGCACTCCTGCTATTCCCCCGGAATAAAAGGACTGCTGGAGGCTGAAGCCCCAGCCCTAACCAGTCAGCATATTGTCCCCACCGTCACTCTCAAGTTGGGGTGCTTGAAGCTCTGATCCTGAGCAGCCAAACCACTAACACATCTGGAAGAAATTCCGCGCCCAGTCCTACTTCCCTTTGTCTTACTTCTGTTTCTGGAAATCTTAGCCAGTTGCTAGAGGAGGGGGTGGTGGGGATGAAGCGTAGGGAGTGGGCCCAGGGCTCCCACTCCCACCTGGGGAAACCTCCTCCCAGGCTCTACCCTCTAGGATTCTCCTTCCAACTACCATCCCAGGCCTGGTGACTGTAAGGTCCTCAAAGCTCCTGGGAAGAGTTAGGGCTTGTCCTGCCCTTTTCTCTTACATGAGGGAGAATGCCACCCGGGTAAGAGAGTGGGCTTTCCTGCCTCTGGGCCCCAGGAGTCTGGAGACGTGGAGATGGGTACAATAGCCGGTAGAAGAGAGAGCGGCCACACTGGAGGGGTGGGCAGCAGGCGCCTGATTCCTGCCTTGTTCTCTCCACCGGTCTCTCCATTTCTTGGGTTAGAAGCTGGATTTCACTGTCAGAACCTAAAACCCTCTCATGTATCTATAGCAGCAAGGCCACGCTGGGGGCGCGGGGCGGGGCGGGGCGGGGAGCGCGC